AAGAAAAGAACTATAATCTTAAGAGAAGTATTCTAGAATTACTTAGTTTAAAAGAACTAGAATTAGTCTTAGTTAAAATAAAAGGACATAGTTGTAACAAATGGAACGATAAAGCAGATAAATTAGCAAAAGAGGGTGGCAGAATAAATAACTTTAATAGAATAATAGAGGCACCACCTTCAAATTCAAATGTTTCACTCTGCTGGAAGGACTTAGTGATCGAAAGCTCAACAAGAAAATTCATCAAGAATGTACTAGAACTTAAAGTTGGAGCAGAATGGAGGTTTATATCATCAATTCAAAAAACAGAATCATTCTCGGAAAAAGAAGAACACGATTGGTCAACATTATGGCAAAGCATCAAGAGTCAAAGTGGAACAAAATGTACAAGTATAAAAAGAAACAGAAAACGAGCAACATTAATTAAATGTGTAAATGAAAAACTACCTGTACTCAAGACTCTGGCACAAAGACGATCAGATCTATACAAAAATGCAACTTGCATACTGTGTAATAAAGACCACGAAGAGGATCAAAACCACCTAGCAACATGCAGCGAACATGAAAAAGGGTGGGATGCTACAGAAAACATGTCAATTGATTTGGCTTGAACAGTATTTGCAAAAGAAACTCAAAGAAAGCCAAGTAAAGAAGAACTTAAAAAGCTTTTATGTGGTACTTTAAAAAAAGAAAGAGTAGCAAGCAGATCCAAAATCATCAAAGACCTAATGCAAGAAAAAGCCAAAAAGTTGGTACAAGATATTATACAATCTCTAAAGGAAACCAAAAATTTTATAACTATGTTCACAAATGCAGCATGGAATGGGTTCTTTGAAAATATATAGAAAAAATGGTGTAACATTGTTGCCAACTGAGAAAAATTAATAGGGATTAAAACCACAATTAAAAAGAAGAAAAATAACAAAAAGCAAAACCTTCTAAGCAAGAAAACACGAAAAGAAGAGAAGGCTATAAATATAGATGAACAAAATCGAGTCATAAGAGAAAGAAAAGAAGAAAATAAGGTCCAAATTCAGAAAACATGGCTTGATTCAGTTTTTAATTTTGTAAATAAAAATATAAGACCCTTTTTTCAGGGTCTTACTGGCTAGCTTGGTATAGCCTCAGGCCAGGAATAATTACCTGGCCTGTGCAACAGACCACTTCTAGGCACTCGTAGAAGTAGCCAGGGGATGTCAAACTAAAATTTAAGCCAACTTTGTACAATATGTATACAAGAATCTTAATAAAGGTGATTGGCAAAGCTGCCTAAGTTAAAAAAAAAATAAAAAAATAAAAGTGAATCTTGTAGATTTCTTACGACTAGTGATATGGGCCAATAGCAAAGTCTTGGGCCAGAGCCGAAACTAATATAGTATGGCCCGGCCGACCGAGCTGTACTATCTATAAAAAAATTTTGACCAATCAAATCACTGAATTCAAATATATATATAAGCTGCGTACAAATGTATAGTACATATTTTTTTCACGTATTTTACTGTTATACATATTTGTTTTATTCACCCCAACTAAATGCATATTTGACTTTATTAAAGTAAATATTTAGATACAGAAATATTTATTTTTGATTCAGTAAAAGTTTTACTCTAAACTATGATGTATTTTAACATTTCATTGATTTTAATAAAATTTTTTATTCAAACCCAAGATAAACATTAAAAAGCATAGAATTCGATTTTAAAAATAGTATATCATGAACTAGGCTTGGATCTAACTGATTGTGTTTTTTTGTAAGAACATTTCTCACATCAGAAAATAATCATTTAGAAGGCACTGAAATGGTTGAGAAAGAGAGAAATTTACATGCCAGTACTGCTAGATTCAAATAATCTTCCTAATTTGTATGTTACCAAATAAGGGGATTATGTATTTTATAAAGAGGATCTTCAATAAAGTACTTGTTCATTTGAGTTGCTTTTTCATATCTTTCTAACTCATCATCTACTGCAGAATTAGAAACTTCACCATTATAAAACCAATTCATTTCAGTTCTTGATGGGGCATTAATATTAGTATTAATTGTTTTTAACATTTCAGATATTAAATTTAAAACTTTTTTTTTTTCATTAGTAGCAAAAGACATATTTTTGAATTGAGGATCTAAATAGAAAGCAACATAAGCTTCAGTTAAAGGTAAATCTTAGCAAGCAGATATAAATTCCTCAATTAGTTGGCAAACATTTAAAATTTTGGATGAAGTAAAAGATATTTTTGCATGATGCAAATGTGAAGATAAAAGAGAAATAGTAGAGAGCATCATACTGAGAGTTGGGTATTGTGAACCTCCAATTAACTTGGTTGACTATGCAAAGGGTGATAAAAGTAATATTAATTCATCCAACTCATTCCATTCAGATTTTGATAACAATTTTTCACTTAAATTTTGCCTATCTTTTTTTTGTTATTGATCTAGATGACAGCTTAAAGATTTTGCGAGTTGTTCTACAGCATCTCATAATTGAACTAGTCTTTTTAAAATAAAATAGGTGGAGTTCTACTGGGTTTTTATATTATGAATAGGTTTCATAATTGAAACTTTTTTTTTTATTTGTTCAACTAGCTGTATTAATGTTGATTATATTGATAATTCATCATCACATTGTGATTCAGAGTCATTATCACCTAATAATGTTCATTCCAAGTCTTCTAATTTATTTGTTAACAGTTGAAAAAGTTCATTTTGAATATTACAAAGACTCTGGCAGCATCTGTCTTTTTTTACTAACCAATTATTTAATTTTTTTACTTTAATTAATAGATCATCACATGCATTAAGACCATCTTTTATAGCTAACTGAATGGTATGTGCAGTATATCTAATATAAGATTTTTCAAAAAGATGCATTCCTTTAATGATTGATTTATTATTATCAGTAGTTCCTCTAATTAACCTATTACTTATATCCCAATAATCAAAAAGTTTGAACAAAAACTGTTTAAGACGTTCATCTGAGTGTGAATATGGAAATTCTTTAATAGTCAAGATTGCCTGATACAAATTAAAGTTTTTTAAAAGCCAATAAATAGGTACACAAATATAAGGATGATACATACTTGTCTATAGATCTGTCATGAAAGAAAATGTTTCTATTGTTTCGAATAATAATTTACATAATTGATCTTCAGCAAAAATTAATAATTCTCTGATTTTTATTCTAACTAGTGATGAACTAGAAACTTTAAAACAGGAATCCATTTTATAACAAAATTGATGAAATTTTTGTCCTTTCACAACAGATAAAGGCTGGCAATCTTCAATAATTCATGCCACCAAATGAAACAATAATTGTCATTGTTTTTCTAATTTATGAGATGCTATTTTTGAAAACATTGAAGATATTGTTTGATTTGAATGATCTAATTTTATGATTGTTTGCCTTTGTAAATCTTTTTTGTATTGTTAATTAGAAAAAATTCTGTGAACTGCATTAAGATGTTCTCCAAGATGTGTAATTGAAGTTGTAATACCAAAAACTCTATTACATCTGTTTTCATTTCCATTTACTAACATAACTACATCACACTTAACCTTTCCTGCTGACTTGTTCTTTTTTATATGATTCCAAACCCAACTAACTTTTCCCAATGTTATATTAGACTTAACTACCTTATTTGTTAATATCTTAACACTTGGAGCTTTTAATAATTGATCAAGAGAAATCTGTTTATTATCCTCATTTAAACATGACTTATTTAAGTTTTCAGACTGTTCTTGAGATTCATGAAGCAAATAAGATGCTAAATTATAAGATTCTTGGCTCAAAATTTCATCAATTTTGTTTGCATTTTCAGTTACAAAATTGTACACTAATTGTTTAACTTTATGTATTTTTTTAAGTTGATTTTCAAATGATTCAGTATCATCTGTGTTTAAGGGTTCTGATAATTTGAACATATTTTGGTCCTGATCTTTTTTTTTAGAATGAGTGTTATGCTCTTTCATGATTTTTTTAAAATCTTAAACAATTGAAATCTTAAAAAAAAAAGAAAAAAAAAATCTGGAAGTTTGATATAGCTTTTATATTAATTTGATTTTTTTTTTTAGTTTTTTATTTAAATTATGTGGAGCGCTCTTTATTATTTAAAAAATCTTAGGATAAATTTTTTTTGATAACAAAGGCAATACTCAAGACTATTATTTTGAAGAAACTTTGGTAAGGTAAAATATGACAAATATAGTACACAATATGAAACTTTATGAAATAGAGTTGACGAATTTTATAAATAAACAAAGGAAAATCAGAATTCTCAATTTGCATATATTTATAAATTCTTAAAACTTTCTATTACATTCTATTTTATCTATTCTAATTCATGAAATAATTAAAAAATTTTAATAGCAATCTTGATTTGAGGCTTTGAATGAGGAAGTATTGATCAATTTTTTCTAATTCTGATTCTTCATCTGATTCTATTCATAATGAATTTTTTTCATTCTTTTTCGCGTGAATTCGAAGGTCATATAGATCTACTTTAAATTTTCACACTTATTCGCATAGCCTTTAGTGCAGTCTCACTAATTTTGACATAATTTCTCCTTCGTGTTCAGAATTTATGCATGACTATGGATTTAATTACTTTACTTTTTTGGTTAGTGGTACCAGATCAATTTAACATCAAGGAAGTTCATGTGTTATGTATGTGCAGAATAGCCGTATAAGGTAAGTAATTAATAACCTATATGATGATAATAACTGGTAACGGTTTGCTAAATAAAAGAAGCCCAAAAAAGAGCGGAAACAATTGATAAGGCAATCAAACTTTATGAAAAACTATGAGAAATAATTAGCATATTTTTAAATATGCAAGGAATTTATTATGTTAAAATTTAGAGTAGACAATTTTTAATCACCAAAAAAATAAAAATAAGATTTATTGTTTACATAATCTACAATATGTATTCATTCATATGTTAGTTATATAAATGTCAATAAATTTAATATAGATAAACTAATAATAACGTTTTAGTTTACAATATTATGATGCATTTAAATTTATACAATATAATAATGCAGTTTTTATGAAAAAAATATTATATCTTAATCGGCCCGGCCGCTCATTAAGTTACGGGTTGACCCTTGGCCCGCCGTCAGCCCGGCCGATAGGGCCGGGGTCAGCCCATATCACTACTTACGACTCTTACAAGTTTATGTCATGGACTATTTTCTGTCAATTGATATTACATTTTATGTTTAGTGTTAAGCGAACTAATATTTAAAAATCTATATATTTTCAAGTTTCTACGGGTTAATAGATATATACAAGAAACATTTAATAATCTTAATATATATTTATATAAATTTAGTAATCCAGGTTATTTTTAACGATGCCTCACAATTCGTTTTTTTTTAAGATAATTCTTTGCTGGTTAGTAAACAATGCAAAAACTAGGGAATTCAAGCTCTAACAAAATTAAATAAATTTAGCATATATTATCTATATATTAAGCGTATATGTAAATTATCATCTCTATATACAGTATTACAATATGATTTGATTAAAAAACAAAAATTATACAACCATAAGACACATGTCATGTTATCGTCCACTAGGTAGTTATAGTAAAAGTGCATCAATTCTAAAAAGTTAAAAAAGCCTATTACCATATACATAATACAAAAAGTAGGTATGAAAATTTGATTACAAGTAAATAATGTGTTAGGGTAAACGATAAATTTACACAAGTAATAAACTCCACCTTGTCAATTGTTTTAGAGACCAAAATCCTTTTCAAATTCTCTAAGTGTCATTAGTTCAACCTATAATGAATTAAAAAGACATATGGCATAAAAAATCGGAATTGCTATTATAATATAAAAATTTGATGCATAATAAAAAAAAAAATTATACTCCTTCAATTGGAAGATCTTGACTTAGATCCTCACTTTCGTCATAAAGTACAATGAAATGTCGATATTTCTTCCATTGTTGTGAATGAACCCTCATCATAGTTCGATGCAAGCTTAATAGAAACGACGGAGGTGAATCTGTCGACTAAATAAGGAAATGTATTAATGTTTTTTTTTAAAAAAAAATATATATATAGATATAAGCAACCAATGAATGGGTTAAGAAATAGTAAATATCTACAATGTTATGTTTAAACATTTCATCAGGGTGAAAATATCGAATCTTTTTCATATTAATTTTCGCAATTATTGAGTAGTATGCAAGACGCGCGTTATGGCTAATTATATCCAAAATAAGAGATAAGTGGTACTGATTCTTAAATAAATAAATAGCGATAAATATTGTGTGCAAATTCTTACCTACTAACGCTTCTCAGTCTACAGCACCGATCCAATGCATCAAGAACATTCTTGCTTAATAAAAATTCCCAGGACGCGTCCTTATAAAGTTGCTTTTGCTAAATGTGACATATATAAACGAGTATGCATCATTAAACCAAAATTCTAATCTCAGAAATGTTATCCCAAATTCTTACATGGTTCATAACTGTAAGAATGCGAAATATTACGTTTTCACCTCTGACGAAAAGCGGTGCTGTGGCTGTTACAAGACCACCTAATATTTTGCGAATGAATTATTAATATGATATGAAAAAACAAACCGATAATAAAATGCAAAAAGAAACAATAAATATAAAGATATTAAACCTTGTTTGAAAAATTCTTCTAAATTCCAAGACTTAATATTATGTGGATTTGTTCCAAACCCAAAAAACTTACAAGTTGGAAGTCGTTTGAGTTTTATTAAATTGGGAATCCAATATATTTGCTTTTCAAAAAGATAATGAATCTAAAAAAAAAATTATTTGATTAAGATAATGAATAGATGAAAGCAAGAATTTGAGGTGATTATAATTAGCACATACCAAAACATACTGAATATCATCACTATACGTATTTACACAAGTAGCCCCCAAACAATTCAAAGCGTGTTTCATCTCCATTACTTCTAAATTTTCTTTTATAGCTACCTGTCCATCTTCACCTCTTACTTGCTTTGGATCTGGGGCAAAAAGTAAAATTTTGGCACCTGGATTTTTACAGATTTCTAAAAGCTTAGAGTATTCCATAAAATTGAGATAAATTTCACACATTTGTAAATCAATCTTATTATCCAATATTTGTCGTGGAAATATTTTTTGATATTTAGAATTTTCAGAAGATGTTGGTTGGGAAAGTAAAGTTTTTTCAAGAAGAATTAATGGGACATTTGGTTTTTCCTTGAGTTGAAGAAAACGACAAATGTCGTTGGAAATCGCAAAAGCTAAAAGACAACGTTGTTTATCTTTGTTAAGCCAAATAACGCCAACCTAAATAGATTATAGTTTATAAAATTAGAATATAAAAACAGTTAATATTAAAAAACTATGTAAAAATTTGGTATGATTAAACCTCACAATATTGTTCTCTTTCATAAACATGTATTCTCTTCTTATATTATACTTAGATTTAAGTATGTTGGCTGGCTCAGTTATAAACCCAAGAGCGTTTGGGGTAACAATTTTCATTGCATCAGATAGCCGAATACAATGTTCTATTCGTAAATTTTGTCTATTCGATATTTCATTGCTATTATTAAAAATTAAAATGGTTGATATTATTAAAAATGAAATAGTTAATATGACCAAAATTTAAATAGTTGATATGATTAAAAATTAAATAGTTGATATGATCAAAATTAAACGGACGATTAAATAAATTCATAATGACCAGCGAACGAACGAACTTACAAGAGCGAGGAATCTGGACAATGACCCGGCAATGGCTTTAGAACTACAGTGGCGATAAATTGCACAAGGCTGCCTTTGATGAGACTTCCTTTCCATTCCCTAAAAAAGAATAAATTAGTATCATCATCCATCGTTTTTTTACAAAGTCAGAATGAATTATTTACATATTCGCTTGATGTGACGCGTCAATGATTTCATTCTTTTTTGTCACTGTAAAAATAAGAAAGGTTACAACTTTTTAGATACATTTATCGTGTGTAACTATCGAAATGAAATGTAATAACTTACCGCCAATACTCGTTGATTGAGCTTCTGCAGTTTTTTTTGACGGTGCGGATTGCACCACTTCCTGTTCCTTGTAAACTTGTGCACGTGTTCTATTGACAATGTACAGTAGAAGTGGTGTAGTAGTAGTAACTCATTCTATTATCTTGCATCAAATATTCAACAATCGGTCACTTACATGGTGAATGATCTCGAAGAAGAACCGTTAGTGCGATCCTTTGTTGATATATCGATACTAATAGTTTTTCCTCGTGCCTTTTCACTTAGATTCTAAAATTAAATATTAAATAAAATCGACAATATTAATAATATTAATAACATTAATAATTAATTATTATTATTATTATTATTAAACATATTAATTAAATTCTTACATTGATATCGATAGACACCGAATGATTTACTTTATCCAGATTATTTACTTCATTCAAATTATTAACTTTATCCAAATTATTAACTTTATCCGAATGATTAACTTTATCCGAATGATTAACTTTATCCGAATGATTAACTTTATCCAAATGATTAACTTTATCCAAATGATTAACTTTATCCAAATGATTAACTTTATCCAAATGATTGACTTTATCCAAGTTATTGACTTTATCCAAGTTATTGACTTTATCCAAGTTATTGACTTTATCAGGAGATACCGAATTATTGACGCTTGGAATATTATTTGTTTCTAGTTCGAAATTCATGAGTTTATTTCGCTTATTTGATTTCATACCCTCTTCACTAGACTCACTATCAATATTATGAATTTGGTTTGAAAGATTCTCCAATTTGTTAATCTTATTTGGTTTCGAGCCTACTTCATTCAAATCATTTTCAGATATCTCCATATTATTATTTTGGATAACATCCGTTTTCATTGTAAAATCGACATATTTCTTGCGTTTATTGGTTTTCACATTAGGTAAAGTTGTTTCTACATTTTCAATATTCATCTTATTTGATTCTTTACAGATTTGCAAAATATTAAAGTTGCATTCAGTACATCATGCAATTTAGAATAATAATAAAAACATACCATTTGATATATCATTTCTCATCATGTTTGTAAAAGTTACATTACTTTGAGTAATATCAGGCATAAGATCCATGCTATTTGTTTGTTCACTCTCGGATCGAAATCGGAACCATCCAGAACCTACCAAATAATTTGAGGAGCCTGATGGTGAAGCTAATGGATTAATACTTCTTTCACGTAACCAGTAGTCACGAATTAAATCATCACATCCGATCATTGATTCATATTTAGCCCAATTTATTTTAATTTGTTCATCCACTAAAAAAAAAAAAAAACCGAGAAAAAATTAATAAAAAAACCAGCAAAATTAATATTTAATTAACAATAAAAGTACCTTGATATTGCTGTAAATACATATCAGTTCCATTTACATAACGGTAGTCTAGAACTTTACTAACCATCACGGAACTTTCTTGTTCTTCCACAGCACTTGACACTCTAAATATCATAGATCATAAACAAGCCAGGATCATAAGCAAGCCGAATTCGTAGTAATCAAGGATTTCCCACAAAATAAATAAATTATATGTATACTTTGAAGCATTTTGCTTTTTTTTCGAATTTTTGATTCGAGAATTAGACATTTTTTTGGGCATGATATTGTAAAGAAAATCTTAAGAAACTATGAATTACGTTCCCAGAGATAAAAAATTGAAAACATGGAATTTTTTTGATTTGTTTATTTATATAATTATAACGATTTAAATATAATGTATGCCGACATTTTTTAAATAATGACGTCTTAAAACATTTAGTTATTTAATAATAATATTCTAATGTCATCTCTAAATTAATGTTATTTTATTCGTCATTATATTTTTCAAAAGAGCAATAACAACGATAATGATGATTCTGTAAGTAATAATAAATAATAAATAATTGTAAAGTAGATTTATTCTCTTTACATCTAAGAATTTTGACACTTATTATCGTTATATGCGAATAATATCATTTGATATATGACGTAATAAAGTTGTGAGAAATAGTCGTTCTTATCTGCATATCAAACTAACACTTTTTCATTGTTTACGTACAGTATAACGATAACAAGTGATTCGTATGTAATAATATAAAAAATCATGGGTGTTTATCATTAAACTGATTACTTAATGTGTACCAAATTGGGTTCGGAGAATCGCCTGGATGATCACTTAAGAAATTAATTCATAAAATACGTATAACGATAAGTTTTATAATAAGGCTGAATCCACAAGGTAGGTTTTTTTCTTGGTAGAGCTAATTTTTGGCCAATTTTGCCGATCTTACTATCATTAGAACCACAAAAATTAGTGGATTCAGCTCTATTATAAAACTTATACGTATTAAATTTCCCAACTTTTATAATAATAGTACGCAAAGATTTTGTCGATTTTAAAAAAAAAACAATACATACATATATATATTATATATATATTATATCTACAGTCGACTCTGAATACAACGAACTTAAATCATGAAATTTCACAATAGTGTGGTCATGGGTTTTTAATAAAACATAGCAATTTTTTGTAACAGCTCGTTATAGAAAGAGTTAAGACTATATAAAAATTTTTTTTTGTTAATACTAAGCTTTTTGTTCAATTAAATAAAGCAATATTTTATATGCTTTACAATTATATGCTTTACAACGTCTATACAATGTTACAGGCTTTCGCTTTCGACAATTTTTTTTTAATCGGTAACTTGGTTTGTTTATTTTTTGACAAATTATGTCTAGTGAATTACAAGTTTTTAACTTAAATGCCGTAAAACAATTCATTTTCTCAAACTATGTGGGTTTTTAATTTCGTGTTCATTATTTTTTTGCTTTACTAAATTACTGTCTCACCTAGTGATAGGAATCGACTAAGGGTGTTCTCAAGTAACACGCTCGATGTGATTAGTTAGCGCTAGTGATCGTGATAGTGCTCAACCATTACGGCGTTATTAATTAGATCATTTTTGAGAACCGATAGTATGGATGATATGATTGAAATATGCTTACGTAACTATCGCTATCTCATTGCAGCATTGTGATTAATTTATGTACTTGTTATTGGTCATGTGCACGTACTGAATCTATCGCTATGACAGGTTATACTGATTACCAAATCGAAAGATCAGAATTTAGCGCATGCTTTAATTTACTTAATATTCGATATTTAAAAATGTTCTCAACAAAAATTTCGCGCTGAAAACTTTTATTTTAGAAGTCAAACTGTCTTGAGTTATTTGCGATTTTTCTGCTTAAGTTACACGAGATCTTGTGATTTTATTGGCTGTCACAGATTCAGTACGTGCTGATTAGAGCCTACAAATTACCTATTTTTGTGGCCCGGGACCCAATGCAGGCCTCTAGTGCTGATCAGTGGATGATAACTGATTATTCACTAGGATACTGTTTTTATGACGTGACCTTTTACATGAAGAAATCAGCGATGATTGACCCAATCATACGCTTATCCGACATACCTTTTGTGAACAGCGACCGTTGTGTAACTTATTCGGCCTAGAGGTTTTAATAATTCGGGTTTATCACATGAATTTTGCGATATTTTAGAAATATATCCAATTAAATTTTAATGAATTCTAAAATATCACAAAATTCATGTGATAAACCCGAATTATTAAAACCTCTAATTCGGCCTACACAAACTTTCATTCACATCTTAAGAGGTGATGAAAATTTGTGTATTGTATTAGGAGGTGGCCGAATAACTTTCACAAAAATCGTTCGGTAAGATCGTGTTAATGTTCAAGTATTATTATAAATTGATCATTTTATTTGCGGCTAAGATTTTTAGTATAAGCAATAAGGTGATAACCTGTTTAACGAACTTTGTATCTTTTTTTACAAAAGGATAACGATAAGCTTAAAAGTATTTATTAAGTAAAAGTATTTATTAAGTAAAATTATTTATTAAGTAAATTCTTTATTAAGTAAATTCTTTATTAAGTAAATTCTTTATTAAGTAAAATTCTTTATTAAGTAAAATTCTTTATTAAGTAAAATTCTTTATTAAGTAAAATTCTTTATTAAGTAAAACTCTATTAAGTAAAACTCTTTATTAAGTAAAACTCTTTATTAAGTAAAATTCTTTATTAAGTAATATTTACATAAAATTAATGCAAAAACGTAATGAATACGTACGCAATTTCTTTAGTGTTCATACAGTAGTTCGATTATACTATAATTCCGATCTAATTATCCGGACACATTTTCTACGTAGGTATGTATATATAATTTTATTCCAAATACAATTTTAAGTTTCATAATAGCAATGCCAATGTTTATTTGTAGTAAAAGTATATACGAGATATATAATATATAATATACCAAATATTGATCGATTATTTTTTTAATAGATACTTAAAAAGCATTGTCTATTCCGTTTAAAAAAAAAAAACTTAACAACACTTATTATTATCTATTAATTTTAGAAGAAAAAATACATTTATTTCACCAAAAAAAAAAAAAATATGTACTAAAAATATGTTAATTTCTAACAAATATGTATATGTATATACATCAAAAGTCTCAAAAAAAAAGAAATAAATACAGATAATGTTCAGAATTTGACCAAATCATTTAATAGTTTGAAGTTATATCCAATAGAAAACAAATAACTTTTAGTATCATTGTATATATCGGGACAAATGCCCTTATTAAAAGTTACGCATACTTCAATCATCTCTTCATCATCTATATGGTAAACTCCATGTCCCAAATGTAAATGTGTTCTAACATCTAAATAAGAAGATTCATCATAATTTGCACCCATTAACTTACAAATCTTACATTTAAATATATTGCTTTCTCTATATCCAGCCAAAACAGCACCCTGTACAGTTGTTATAGTATCATTAGATTTTTTATGTAATTCTTTTGCTTCAGTCCAGATTTTTGGCATAAGAGTATTCATTAAAAAGTCATCATCCCATAGATTGTAAGGATTACTATCGTGAAATGGAGGATTTCGAAAAGATGGACACCATGGAAGATATTTGTTTATTAAAAGATTTTGCATATTATCATAAGAATCTTCCATGTATGAAGAAGAAAATTGATCTTCCATAATCCAATCATTCCAATCAAAGAAAGTAGTGTCATTTGAAGGAAAACTAAATGACAATCCATAATCATTTAACGGCTGACTATATAAAGTTGGAAGAGTAATATAACTAAGATCTAATGCCGGTTGAATTGGTGGTGGTGCAGATAGTAGTGAAATAGGTGGTAAAGTTATTAATGAAGGATTATATGATGATATTGAATTAGCGGAAGAATTGGAGGAATTAGTGGAATTTATGGGATTAATGGAATTAATTTCGGAATTTACTCCAAAATATATAGGTTTAATATCACCATATGAAGATGTTTCGGATTCATTGGTAAGATCGATGACATTTTTCTCATTTGTTATGTCAATAACATCATCTTCTGTTGACATAAAATCCTGTGATATTTCAGATTTATTTGCTATGGTATTATTTGTTTCTGATTCATCAGTAAGATCAATAACTTCCTTATCTAAATTTTTATCGGTTTCGACAGTAAGATCAACGACGTTAACGTCAACAGCGTTAGCGTTAACTACGTCAGTACTAACGTCGTTAACACTAACGTCATTAGAGTTAATGTCATTAGAGTTGACGTCATTAGTGTTAATGTCATTAGTGTTAGCATCGCCAATGTTAACACCGTCAATATTAACGTCGTTAGTACTATCGACATCAGTATTAATGATGTTCATAATACTCATAGATAAAATATCAGCATCTGTGTTCGAAATGTTCATGGCTGTAACATCTGTTATTGTTTCTATTTCTGATTTTTTTGAAGAATCTAAAGTATATTGTGATAAATCTGAATTAACAATATCTGATATAAGAGTGGTCGAATTGTCAGAAGTAATAGAGGAAGAAATTTGAACATCAATATCCATGTTTGAATTTGCAGAATTTACTGTGGGAGGAATTTCAACGGTATTTTCCAAAGTGGAATCCGGTAACCAAATTTTCGCAAGTTGATAAATATCATATTGTCTCATTTGGAAAACAACATCCCTACGCCACGCTTTTTCTTTATTTTGACGTTCTTGCCTTTTTGAAATACGCCGTTCCTCATATTCCTTTAATAATTTCTTTTTCAAAAGTACCCAAGATCTTTCAGTAAAAGGTTGTGGGGATTGACGTACTTGCATAAACATGTGATTCTGATATGTTGGACATAATTCAAGTATGAGACTATCATATTTTGAACAATTGTTAGCATTTTTCTCTGCCTTCATGGTTTGTATCTTTGATTTAATTAAACGAGATCTTTCCGTCTTTTTTAATGAATTTTGATGAACCAATTCTCTTAAACCCCTATCATAATCCAATCTACGTTGATTGACTTCTTTCATCTTTGCTATACCTTCTTCTCTTTTTTGTTTTATCCAATCATTTCTGATATGTGGTGGATAAGCGGGAAGACTTTGATATTCTTGAACCGTTTTAAGAACATGATCAGTCCAATAAAGACTTGATGGACACATTCTTGAATTTCTCATATAAGTATAAGAACGTCTGACCCAAGATGGTATGTAAGTTAAACCAGAAATAACATCATCAGAAAGACGACCATCATCCATGTATTCAGGAAGAAGATCTTCTTTCCTAAAAATATACATATATATATATAATATATATTTTTTAATACCGTATTCAAGCGAGAAAAAAAAAGGTTATTTAACAAAAAATATATATATATTATTTTTATTTATTTATATATATATATATATTTTTTTTTTTACCTTGATATTCTATCTCTCAGACAATCCTCACAAGAACGTACAAAAAATTCCCAATAAACTTTACGAATTTTTGATCTATCACAAAATTGACAACCACGTTCTAAAACCAATTTAACGTATTGCCTTTCGGTCATCCCTTCAGGTGGAGACATTTGTAAATAAGGTAAATAAGCAGTTCTTGATGCACGCCAAATTTCCTGAGTTGTTGTAGAAGTTTCTACACTTAAATAACCATTAAACCTTTTACAAACCCTAGCTAATGATAATAACTCTTTCGGAGGTAGATATTGACAAACATTGATAAACATTTCAGGAGGGAGTATTATAAAAAGACATGGTTTTAGTTGTTTCTGTCTTTTCCCTCCTGGATGACATCCTTTTCGCCGTAATAGAGACATGATTTTTTTTTCAAAAAAGTTTCAAAAATTTGAAGCTCACGATCTTATTTATACTTTTAAAAAAAAAAAAGTTTTTTTTTTTTTAAAAGAAAGGAGAGGGAGCGGATACTTGGCGTCCGTCAAAGATGCACAGATTGATTTAGACTCCTTTTAAAAGTTAAGTAATACGCAACACTCCCAAATACGTAATTAGTGGAACAACATACAAAACCTTGTATTGAATTCTATAGGAAATTATATTTTACAAAATCGGATACTTTAAAAAAATTTTTTTTTTTGATTTTTCCTGCTATTGGTCTTGTGATATAAATGGAAAATTCTATTTGTGCAACTAACGTAACATAAACTTATTAATATTAATGAATCCTACATGCGTACGATTTTTTCTCCGATAAACTTTTTTTGAAATGTGTATTTCCTCGGACTTCATGCTATTACATCCGGTAGATGCGGCACAGCCCACAATCATACTAATACGTTATAACAATCATAATAACAATTTAACAAACATAGGTAATAAGTCCCTACGTACGTACGTATACGTACTCATTGACATATCTAAATATTGATATGTATATATACAATAATTGATAACTGATAAGTACGTACGTAAGAACCTACCTGCTACGTAAGTGGAGCACGGTAATCCCCATAAACTAATATAAATATATAAATATATGAAGATATAAAGATATAAATATATATGAAGATATAAATATATATATAAACGATGAATATATAAATTAGGGAGATTAAGAAAACCCAACCTGAAACTTTTTAACAAGATAAGCCTCAAATATTCACAATATTATAGGAAAAACAACAGAATAAAAATAACTAATTGGTAAATATTAAATTATGACAATTTCTTAATATGGAATTTTACCATCAATATATTTTGTTAACGTTTTAACTAATTTAGATTGTTTATTCAAAAAGGTGGTAAGACAAGATCAAAACAACTTAAATGAACCTTTAATCACATTCGCTTGCAGAATTTAGGAAAGATCTAAACATGGAAGCTATTCTATATATCACGTGTCATTGTCATTTTATATATATTAATAATTCAATATGTATTTAATATGTAATCTTGGTGTAATCAAATAATTCAAAGATAACAATAAGATAATCAATTATTAATAGATAAATATATATTTATTAAGATTACTAATAACAGAATTACAAAAAAGAGAATATCTTACCAGAAAGATTGGTTTACATAGTATAATTACGCCATTATAGCCACTATGCACAATATGATTTGAAAAGCTGATACGTATGATCAATTTACGGAATAGAAGCTTGTATTCCGAATAAGACTCAAAAAAGGGTTCTTACATGCGCCTTACTTTGTCAAATGCACATTTTAAAAACTTTTATATGGAATCATGTAACAATACGATTATTTTGTAATACACTAAAGAATTAAATAAAGTCCAGTAAAGTAACGATTTTAGGTTTAGCAAACTTTATATCTGCATTTGATCGACTTTGAAAATCAATCATAATTAATTACGATTTTCGATGTCAATTAATGGGGTTCTGTGTAACATATCCTCATTGATATTTCCCGGAAGAAATAGATTTCCCGACTTTAGTAACAATATTGATGAAACATAGTAATACGTACTATGCTTAACGCAGTGCAAGGAAACACTTATTAATGGAGCAACAATAAAATATACCAAGTATAAATTTACATTAACGAATTAAGTAAATATAATAAAGTATGAATTAAGAAACTTTATTTAACCAACTAAGTTATTTAAAAAGCAATGTAACCAACTAGTTATTTAAAACCAATGTAACAATCTAGTTATTTAAAAGTAATGTAACCATCTAGTTATTTACTTTGCAGTATATAAAAGGTATTTTTATTGTAAAATGAAGATGCTTTTTTAAATTACTATAAATATTGAAACCTTTTTTTAATAAATTTTGTGACAATGACAATCAAGTACAACGAACGAATTAACGATTTTAATAAAATTGGATATATGTAAAATAACGAACATAGACTTAAAAGCTTAGCTTAATATTTTAAATAACTAGTTTTAAATTAAATAATTAAAAGGTCCTACCGGAAAAAGCGGACCATTGGCCAATACTAAAATTGGATGGGTGATTTTAGGGAAAGATTGGGAAGATTGGAAAAGGGCGGAAAAGGGCGGACAGAGGTGGTTTTTATAGATTAGCGTCAGGTTTGCGTTTCACGTGTAACATGCATGATTCGGATCTTCACGGAACGAATTCTGTGATATTACTGTATTAACGTTAATGATCTTAATGGTACGTCACTATCACGTGGTTTAGATTGGTAATGCTTCCGATTGGTTTATTATAGATATACTGGTCTTTAACATTAATTACAGCAAACATAACGATAATATAATTTTTTTTTATAATATATATACCGTGTATATATATTACATTTATTTTTTATGTAGCTTATTTAGAACTTATATAATCTTAAAAAAAAATAAAAAAGAAGAATAAAACATAGCATAAAGAAAAAACTTTTTATTCGAAAAAAAACGAGGTAAGATCCAATCGATAGATGCAATTAAACAAGGAAAAAAAAAAAAAAAAAAGATCACGAAAAAAAAGAGGAAAAATCATAAAAAAAAAACATAGTAAAAGTAAAGCTTAGGCCCGTGATTAATAACGGTGGGAAAATGCATATATAGTAAATAACATATATAGTAAATAAAGATAAAATATAAAAAAATAAAATAAAAATAAAAGAAAAAAAACAATAATAAAATCAAAATAAAACTATATAGTATAGCTATAATGTATAATGATTGTTAAGCATAAGACATTCATAAATTAACAATCAAATTAACGTTAAAACCTGCCGCAAAAAAGATTTCAGGTTTATTTCTTGGAATTTCTTGTGCAATTTCAGCATTATCAAAAGCCTCTGAAACAACTTCAATCATATCATCTTTAATTACACTGATTTTATGAGAACTTCGTATCAAATGTAATCGAACTTCATAGAATGAATAAAGTTGTGTAGCTCTTTCAGGATGATTATTACATAATTTGCATTTATACACGCGTCTGTTACCTGAACGCCTATGAAGAAATGCTCCACATACTGTTAATGGTGGTGCAGGGTTATTTTTAAGATGAATTGTTTCTGCGCGAAGTTGAGGAATTAAAGTTGTGATCAGAAAAACATCATCCCAAAGATTTCGTGGATCATTATCAATAAATGGTAAGTTTTGAAACGACGGACACCAAGGAAGATATTTGATTAAATGCGTTTCAAATTGTGAATGGGATATATTATCTGAATTATTATCATTTTGATCTGTAGAAATAGCTGCTGCTACAGGTTGATCTGAATCAGAATGAGGTAAATCAAAAACTAATTTAAGTATATCCATTTGACGTGTTTGAACTGCAACATCATATGAAAAAAGTTTCTCGGCCGCCTGTCGTTGAGCTCTATGAGTTACGGCAAGTTTTGTATATTCAGGAATTAATTTATTTTTTAATCCAATCCATGCACGTTTAGTAAAAGTATGTGTGGATGATGACATTATGGCCTTATTATAAACCATACATTGTTCTACAATAGGCATTTTAAATCTTAGTAAACCATATTCATTTCTTTCATTTTTTATCATAGATTCTATGGTAGATGCACGTTCTTCCCGTTTTTTTTCATTTTCAGAAGATTTAACCCAATATTCATTTTCATGTTCGATCTCACGTTGGGCAACATCTTCCATTCTTTGACGACCTTCCTTTCGTTTGTTAAGAAGCCAATCTTTTCTTTCTTCAGGTTCAAGTTTTAAATATTCATTATAGACACGATAAACATCATCGCGCCAATATAAATTTGCCGGTCGATTTTTTGGGCTTTGATCCCAACCCCATTTATAAAATCCAGTTGTATAAGTTAATCCACGTAAAATATCATCAGGAACTGAATATTTTGATAATAAATCACGCCTAATTTGATCTAATCTAAATAAATAAGTAATTATAAATATATTTACTGTAAATATTTACTAAATTACATATATAGTATACAGTAAATATTTACTAATTATATAGTAAATATTTATAAATTTACATTTTATATTATAAAAATCAAAACTTATATGTTTAGTAATTATGAATATATATATATATATATACCTCATTGTTCTCTCACTCAAACAAGGTTTACAACAACGAACACGAAAAGCCCAATAAATTCTTCGTATTCTACGCCTCTTACAAAATTGACATCCGCGTTCAACAAGGAGCTTTACATAACGACGTTCATCCATACTATCAGGCGGTGGCATTTTGACATAGGGCAAACATTGAGATCGAGAATTGCGCCAGATTTCCTGGGTTGGTTTAGAATCAATTGAACATAAGTAACCATAAAACTTTTTACAAACTTGAGCCAGAGAGAGAAGGTCAGAAGGTGGAAGATCTTGGCAAATATTAATGAAAATTTCTGGTGGAATCTCTGTGGCAATACAAGGGCCAGCCATGATGATCATCTTTGGAGAGAATTGGACGTGAAAAATTGAAATTTTCAAGGCACAACCTTAAGAAAAAAAATTTTAGCCTACTTATAGGATTACTAGATTATCACAGATTGTTTCATGAGAAAACTTTCGTAACATTGTGATTTTATTCACATCATTTTTTACCATTTTTTCATTGGACCATAGGACAATAGGGTTATTGTAGACACATATATATATCGTATGCGCCCGTGAACAATGTGCATTATTGTTTCCCACGTTTGAAATTTGATGAGATACTGAGTTGAATCGGAATATAAATTTAAAACTCAAACCCAGTCTATTAAAAAATAAAAATAAACTTTTTGTGTAATGTCTCTACGCATTTATGTATATTACGTAATACATGAATGTTAGAAAAAAAAAATTGAACAGTTTTTTTATTATTTGAAACCTTGTGATATGAATCGAATTGGCTAAGCCAAATCTCTGGAACACACAAACAAACAAATTAATGATCTAACATGACATTTGATATTGTCAAACTTTGATATTGTTGATGAATCTTAAAACTATTTATGGGATTTATCAGCTTCAGGAAAAAAAAACTTGAAAATTTTTGAATCGAACGATTTTTTTTTTATTACACGCGCATATCTTTTTTTTTTTCAAACGCGTTTAGCACGTCTTAAAATTTCTATTTCTTTTTATGTATCCCAAACATTTTTTGAATTTTTCACGTGGAATGATGTAAATATTTAATATTTCTGTCTCTATTGAGGTATATTTATTCTATATTTAGTAAAATACTCTCTTCCTTGTACACAATACTAGAAAAACCTATTGTTTAATGATATCAAAAACGCATCTCGATTCATTCATAACATCATATATGGTGTTTCATTACTGTAGTTTGATATTCTCACCCACAGTAATTTTATCAATGCAGTGATATGGCGTCTCCTTATAATTTGTCTTAAATTTTTAAGAATGCAAGTTGTTCATATTTGTTATATTTGTTCATAATTACTTCAAAACAAGTTTAATGCAGTTATGTTTATACAAATCTGCTAATACAGTAAAGTTTATACAGATGATTTTATACAAATCAGTCATACTGTCAGGTTTATACAGACAAGCTTATACAAATAAGTTCATACAGATAAGAATTTTGTCCAAAAAAAAATTTGTTGAATTTACATTGAACTAAACTTTAACCTGATTAATTAATATATACTATTATATAAGCTTTACATCAATGTCTATTGTTTAATTTACCAAATTTAACCACTTATTGTGGGGTACCAACGTGAGTTTGGTTCAGCACGGGACAGTTTACACTGTAACGGTACAAGCATACATATTAAGAATTGTTATCGTTATAGTAATACACATTTACTCAAACTATGTTTATCTGTTATAATTATTTAAAATGTGCTGAAACAATTGGCGTTGCATTTCATTTAATACATATTATTTTTGTACGTAGAACTTCTCCCACTTCGTTTGTGACAATAATTATTTAGTTCTTATTAGTATTAAATATTAATTTGTTTTACAATTCTTATTACATTCTTACGTATTACATTCTTAATGCATTCTAAATACATTATTAATACATTCTTAATACATTATTAATACATTATTAATACATTTTTTAATACATTTTTTAATAAATTTTTAATACGGATGTATGCGCATTTTTAATACGTACATCCTTAATATATACATTCTTAAGTTTCATACTTACAATAAGTTCTTTTAATTAAAGTTACCGTTATAAAAAACAAGGGATCACTATATCGGGATTTAGGTGTAACAATAGGATAGTTACATAAACATTATTCAAATAACTTTGATTTAGCTCACTTACTAGTACCGAAGTCGCTTTGGCGGAGTGGTTAACGCGGTGGCCTGCTAAGCCATTTCCTTCTGGGAGCGCAGGTTCGAATCCTGCAGGCGACGAAAAAATTTTTTTTTTGGTTTTATATTTTAATCATATGACCTTAAATCTGCATTTTTTTTTTTTTTTAAGTGCATATATCGATATATTTATTTATGTATAACAATATATGTATATATATAGGAAAAATATTCAACATTCGATTATCGTTATCATTTGGAAACATGGCTTTCCGTAACTTTTATTCTAAACCATTCAATATACAAATCTCATTAAATCATCATCATTTGCGCCCATCTTTGCTTTCAACATGTTTAATTGTTCAAAAGAGGACTGGGACCGCTAAACCAAAAAGTGTTTATGTATTTGATTTTAATTTATTACTAGAGTTTTTTCATTATTATTAATTATGGAATACATTAATATCATTTAGTAAAAAAATCATCCGCAAATACTCAAAAAAATAAGGGATTTTTGAAAAAAAACTTAAAAAAGAAAAGTACTACTGAGGTTTGTTTTTATGCAACTAATTTAATTTGTTTTTTTAAAAAAAAATCTTATTATATTCGTTAAAATTAGGATGTCGAAACTCCGTTATCTACAAGTTTTACAAAGAATAAAGAACTTTATCTTTCTCCTCCGGTTATAGCTTTAGAAGAAATGTTACCGGTGCGTTTATCTTTTTAAAAATTAGTTAATTATAATTTTTATCACGATATTTAATTGTGAATCTTAAATTCGTGCAATAGGATGTATATACTGATGAAAATATTGGCAAAATTTATCGCTTTCCTCCGGAAATCATTTCAAAAATCGACATTTTTAAATTACCTCCTATTTTAGAGAGAGAGGTAGATATTTTCTTAACTTTGCGTTATTATTCTTATCATCAACTACTTTAATTAAGTTTTCATCTATTTTTTTTAATTGTATTAGCTCTCTCTGTTACCCTATCCTTCCTTAGCAATTCGCCAATCATCAATTCAATTAGTCAATTTAATTGAAAATGCTTCACAAAAATCGAGCGCAGAAACTAGGATTATTTTATGTAAATATATTAAATAACTTATCTAATCTGTTTTTAATAATGTGTTAATTATTATTATTTTTTTTTTTTTAGCTGGGGGAATGGGTGTGGGAAAAAGTGCATTATTACTTCAAACCATTAATTATTCTTTGTGCAAGCCATGGATCGTAATATATATTCCAGATGGTAAAATATCAGTTTGAATTAATTGTATTTTAATAATCTATATTGATTTCTTTTTTCTCCTCTTAATCAGCTATCAAGTTTGTAAATAGTTCTTATCCATATATAAAAAATAAGATAACAAATGAATTCATTCAGCCTACTTTATCAGCCGAATTCTTAAAACAAATAAAAGCTGTTAATGCCAAATTGTTACAAGATGTAAGGTTATTTCTCAGTAAAAAAAAAAATTTTTTTAATTTTTATTCAAGCAATAAAATTTTATTAAATTTGGTCAATTTTTTTTTTTTTTTAGATAACGTTAACAAGAGATTATAAATTAAATAGACATATAGTAAAAATTAATTCACCTGTAATAGAACTTATGAACATTGGAATCAAAGACACTAGTTGTGCTCCTCAAGCGTTTGAGATTTTTTTAGATGAAATTGGAAAGAATGTAAAGTAAATACTCTACTGAAATCTTAGAAAGATATTTTATCAAATAATATCAACTTAAATTAATTAATTTTCTAAATTCAGTTATCCAGTTCTTTTAGCAGTTGATGTAATTAATGCTTTTTACACTGCAACTGATTATACCGATATTGATGATACTTATCTCGAGCCTGATAGATTATCTCTTTCACGTACAATATTGGATTATTTTTCCGGAAAACGTGATTTTGTAAGACTTATTTTTTAAGTGATAGGATATATTTTTTAAGTGATAGGATATTTGTAATTTTTTTAATTTTTTTTCGATTTCATAATTTATTTAATCTTTATAGACATATGGTGCAGTAATAGGTGCCTTATCTCAATGTTATAAACCATATATTAGTAAACCGTTAAATATTGCCCTCGGATTAGTGATGCCATCTCCATGGAAACATTATCCACAAAATCTTTTAAATTATGCTGTTGGGCTACAAAGGTTTGATGTTCCTAATTATTCTCAAACCGAAGCTAAAGGCGTTTTAGATTATTATTGTGATGGTTCATCAATATTACAACGTAAGTTTTATACCATTTTATTATATCATTTTTTGTTGTCCAAATTTTGTTAAAAAAAAAAAAATTTTCCAAATTTATAGAATCTCGTGATAAACTGTTTCAAAAGACATTTATTGCAACAAATGGAAATCCACGAAAACTTTATCTATCTTGTTGGAAAGGATTATAGTGTTTAATAAATATGTTGACCTTATCTCACTATCGTTGTAATGTTTTAAGTTAATATTGATATTGTAAACTGGATAAATTATGCTTTGAAGAAAAAAAAAAACAAAAAATCATAAAAATATCAAGAATACAACAGTGAAACATCAGGAGATAATACTTGTGTTAATAAATATATTATAATCAAAAAAAAATAAAATTATGGCCAAAATTGTACATGAATTCACAAAGAAATACTCTGTTTTAAAGCAAAGACAATATTATAATATTATGATTCATCTACATAATAAAGCCATTTTACCTAATTTGGATAAATTGTTAGAAAGCGTATCTTTTGTTTCTAAAAATGGTAATCGTCAAAAGTATAACGATAAAGCTTAAGAAATCAAAACTATCCAACCAATAATGAAATAGAATAAAAATAATGGATATATTGCCAATGCTCGACGATTTGACAAATAAGATGCCGAAAAAAAATTAAAAGAGGCTAAAAAAAAAAAAAAAAATCAATTTGATTCTGAATAAACCTGAATAGACAAAAATAAAAACAATTCTCACCCCAAGAAGACCATGAGTATGCCATTACCGATAAAAATAATCTTATATAGATTATTTTACCAATAAAAAGATCTAAAAATGCAACTATGACTAAAGGAAAAACACAATATCCAAGAACACATATACTTTGAAAGAATGACCTAAATTTTGCCGATAAAAAAAAATAATAGATTAATCTATTTTTATATAAATAATTCTCTAACCAAGCTTCGTCTGAATGTTAATATTATGTTTGAAACTTACACCTTTCCACCCAAGAGTTTCGTATTTATTGTCACAACAGCAGCACCAGACCATACAATAATAAAAACACTTGTAAACACTGTAACTTCTTGACTTTGTGCACTAATACTCAATAATCTAATATCATAATCATTTACATGAGAATAGCAAATGAAAATTTACTAAAATAATTACAATTAATATGTTTTATTGCCACTTACGTGGATAATGTCAAACAAATAATTAATGGACCCCATAAATCCCCTTTAAAATAAAAATCTTTTTAATTAAAAAATAAAAGTAAATAATAATAATGAAATTACCGTAAAGTTTGAAAAATAAGATCCTCTATTTATGACAAAATTTGTTAAGAACCAGATTTAAATTGCTAATTCCTAATAAATTTGGTCATAAATACTATATTTCAAAAAAATGAATACTTATTTTACACTCTTTACGTTAACTAATATATTTACAATCACGTAAAACATCATGGTTTCCTTTAGGATGAAGAACTTGTCGCAATTTAATTGCAATATTTCTCAAATCACGAAGCTTAATTTATAAAATACTAAATTAATTTTGAAATTTTAAAATTCACAATAAATTTATCAAAAAAAAATTTAACCTACAATAGTTTTAGAAACTGGTTCATCAAGCGAATCAATGAAACAATGCTTGGTTTGGGGAGATGGTTGCAGATCAATATTAATGACTACTTGCTCGGTAATAACTGCAAGTGCACGAGGGGACGAAAGATCTATATCATCAGGTTCTATCATCATATCAAGATCTTTCAAAGTATAATCATTTGGTGAATTTTCAAAGGCATATCTGTCTTCAGAATTTTGAATAACATGATGATGGTTTGATAAAGGAGATAACATAATAACGCCAGAATTTCTAAAGTAAAATAAACATTAGCAACAAATATGAAAGATAAACATTCATTACAGTCAAATAAGCTTGATTATTTTTCATATTTCACTTCCAAATCAGTATCAAAGAGTTTCGAAAGTCTTTGGAAGTCAAACAAGTTTTTCCATCTCAACTTAAATTAGAGTTGACTCTAACAACCACCACTTATAAACATAAAAGATATGGTCCGGGTTGACCAAAAAAACCTGAACAACAAACCACAAGAACGACTAAAGACTAAACCTACTTATGATGATGTTTTTCCTTATATATCTCGATAGTCTTTGTTGCCAACGATAATGAATGGTTGATTGTTACACCTAGATGAATAACTTAGCCTTAAGTGCTGTAACAATAGAAGAAAAACTTGATATAAAACACAGCCCAGAGTGATCGTAATGAAAATCATTACGTATTTAACTTATATTTAACGCTAGGAAAAGTTCTCTAATCATTAAAAAATAAAATTTGGGCATGTTAATTTTGACTCTTATTGCATAAAATTTTAGAAAGGAGACCTGGCATCGGCTTTTATTTTTATGTATGGTTTTTTTTAAAAAAATAAAATCCACTCGGATAATAAACATGTTTAAATTTTTTTTAAATTTAGTAAAGTCTGACCCGGTCGGGTTATGAAAACCAAGAGTAATTTCGTTTGGCCTAAAATCATAAGAGTCAAATTTTAAACCTTTTTTCAATAAAGTTTAAATCTTTATAATGATATTCTCAAAATGTATTTAGAACACATCCTTAATACAAGTTAAAAGTTAATAGTTAGGATTATATTTTTTAAAAAAAAGTTTCGAATACGAAATATTTTATTTAAAGCATCAGATCAAATACTAATTATAATACCAGGTGGGTGAAAAGTGACTGGACAGTGACTACTGATATACTATTGAGTATCACTTTATTACGTAGATATAATAAAAATTCAATATTTGCAAAGATATAAAAAGGTCCTGTTCAAGGACTTTTACCCATCTGGTACAATTCAAAACTTTTGATTTTTTTTTTTTTTTAAACAAGCGGTCAATTGCTTGGTCAAACTGGTTTATTTGTTAATGTTGACTTAATATATTTTTAGTTAGTGAGAGCACAACAATTTTAGTTATTGTTTATTTAAGAGTTTCACTCTAAGGTTATTCACTAGGTGTCATGCCTAACTCTACTTGTGGATGTTCTATTTAAACTTTTTGGTATCCTTAATTTGTAGCTTGTATAATACTAACTTCTATTTTAAAGTTAAGTCAACCTGTTGTTGCTTTCAATAAAGATCTTTCAGGTTTAATTTGTTTTCTTTTTTAATTAGTATACAGGCTGTTACTTATTTTTAGAAAATATTTTTTTGAACATAAGGTTTTAAAGATTTTTTTGTTAATTAATATACTCACTTTACAGTCTTATTTTTGTAAAATTCATTTAAATTTCAGTATTAATTTTACAAAATATTCTTAATATTTTAGTATATTCTTGTTTTGTTTTTAGATTTTTAATCCAAATAGTTTAAGAAGATTATAACCTGTTTTTAGTATTTTGAGTTTAACTTAATATTTTTTTTTTTAATTTAAAAATCCAATAGTCTAGATAATGATATCTTTTATTTAAAGGTTTTTGTTTATCTATTTCATTATATTGATATTTATTTTTTAAGTTTAGTTTTTGTAGTTGTATTAAATTATATAAATATTTTATAACTTATTAGTTATATTAGTATAATCATACTAAAGATATTTTATTCTAACTAATTGATAAAAAATAGTTGTTATAATACAGATAAAATTTTTTTTTAGTATTAAGATGACCTCTTTGGTTCTAGCTTTTTATTAATACTTATATCAAGTATATGTTTTATATAGATATATCTATATTGAACTATCAGATAAGTGTACAACTGGTTACATATGTAACTTTTTTATATTACCTATTTAAGAAGTCTGCCCAAAGGTTTCTTATCAGTTGTTGTACTTAATACCTCTGCTTAGATGTTTCATTTAAACTCTCTGATCTAATCCTAGTATTAATTTCACTAGAACACAAACCTAGATCTATTCATTTTTAACCATAGAATTATAATCTTTAGACTATTTTTATCCTCAAAATAAACCTACCAGAGCAAATCATATTCTTTTTTACTGCTAACCTGGCTTGATGCTATAGCCAAAACTAATACTTGTAGTCAGGATTATCTATTAAACCACTATTACTTATGTAAAGTTTATCCAAACCCTAGTACTTATTTTTCTAACTTCTTCTTCATTATTTTCTACTAGCTATAACTCAGAACTAACTGACTCTTCAGACTTCCAATTCAGATGGTCTGGTATAATATACTTATATATCTATTCTATTATATTAAATAATTCTGAAAATAAAACCAACTAGGTAAATATATAATATATAAGGAGGTATTATAGTAAAAATGAATAAAGTGGCAGATTACCATTTTATTTATCTTTGATATAATACCTTCTTATCTTATATATATTTTATTTTTATTTTATTTAAATTTTTTTTTTTAATCTTAAGCAATTACACTAGTACTTTATTAAGATTATAAAACTATATACATATACAATTACATAGAATTTCTCAATATTTAAGTCTAGCATCACTCAGCCACCCTAATAGTACCTAAGTGCAATCTGTTGTACTATCTTAGTTAAAAATAGACTGCTTGTCTAACTACTTAAAACTATACTAAAAGGGTTTTTTCTCTTCTGTAACAAGCATATTTATTGTCTTTAAAGCTTTTTTCTTTATTCAATCTGTCTTTTCTGTTTTTTTTTCTTTTTCTTCTTTTTTTGTTTGTTTATCTTTCTTTACTTTGTTTTTTGTTTCTCTCTTGCACAAGCACCTTTTTTCATTTTATTTGTTATATTGATCCTTTTTTTTCAAGCTTATATTTTTTTACATTATACTCTTTATACTTGGTTATAAAAGGTGTTCTATACTGTTCTTGTTACTATATCTATGCACTTCTGTGTTATCTACTTGCTTAAAAGTTACTCAAACCTTTCTCCTACTTTTAGCATTGTGAATTTCTTTGTTAACATTTTTCTGTTTGTGATTTCTTCACTTCTGTTTTTTCAAATAATGACTTGTATAAAACTTGTAATAGAATTCTGTTTTTTTCTTTTTTCTTAAGTCTGTTTTATGCTGTTGCTATTGCAACTTTTTGAATCTGCTTTCACAAACTCTTTTGTCTATTGCAACTTACTAAATATGCTTTAGTTTTTTTTTCTCCAACTTGATATACTTGGCACTCTGCTGTTGTGTATACTTCTGGTCTTCTTCTGTTTAGCTTCTCAAGTATTAGTAGGCTGTCTATTATGTACTTGATTGCTGTAGCTCTTCTTGTGCTGAGTTTTCTTGACATATAATAAACTCTTTTTGTTCTGTTCATTTTTTTCAAAAATTGACTAATTATGTAGTATATTCTCTGTTTTTGGTTCTAATATTTATATTTGTTTGTCTCTTTCCAACTGGCTCCAATTCTGGCATTTGCTATTATTTTATACAAAAGTATTGTCAGTATGTCAATGTTCTTGTTTTCTCATTCTAAATTGTAATCTATTCTATCATATTTAACTTTATCTACATATATTATATTCCAACAACTTGTTTCTTTTTTTGCAAGAGAGTTTGTTTTGTCATTTCACTTATTTTCACTATGACTTTTAATTTTAATTATTTCTATCTTAATGTTTTTGTTCTTAATAAGACCTACAATATTCATTATCCACATTGCATTTTTCTTTTTTAGTGTTCTTTCTTCTTTTGCACTTTGAAGTACTTTATTAATATTTCTTAATGCTACAATGCTGTCTATAAACACTTTTATGCTTTTTTCTTTTAGCACTATTAGAATTGCTATTCATATTGCTGCTAATTTTGCTATTGTTACTAAAGGCCAACTTTCAAGTCCTAATACAGTTTTCTCTTTTGGCTAGTCTCCTTCATCTTCTACTTATACCCAACTGATACTTATTTTTTCTGTACTGTTTTCTTCTTTCTTCTTGTATAATGCTTTATTAGTATAGAAACTGTATTTTTTCTTATCTCTCTTTTTGTTTCATATTAATATCTTTACTAACTGATTTGTAATCATGCTATTTAATTCTTGTTTTCTAATTAGTTCTACTTCTAATTCTTCTATTTATCTTATTTCTAATAACTTCATTTTGTCTTTTTTCTATTTTTTTATTATTTTATTTTCTAGTATCTGTTCTAATGTTATATTTATTTTATTGTTAGTTTTTTTTATTAGTAACTTTGGTATCATTCTTATGTTGTAATCTTATCTTATCTATCTTTTATACTTTTCTGTTGTCTGTTCTGATCTGCTTTTACAACCTTTACAAATACTTAATTCTGTTGATGTTTTTTTTTTTCTATATGCATTAACCAATGTTCTGCTAACACTTTTTTTTTTTTTTTTTAATTACTTTGCCAAATTGTTGGTTGTGTTTTGGTCCATGTATGATCTATTCTTTTTTTCTTCAGTTTTCTAATATCTTTGTTTACTTAATCTTTAATGCCTGTATATTGTATCTTTTTATTTTGTAATGATCTTGTATTTCTCTGCTTGTTTATATTCTTAACATTTTTTTTTCTATTTTGCTAAATTATTTAGCCTTCTTCCCTTTATATGACAGATCTTGAAAACTCTTAAGATGTCTTCATGTAATTAGATTGTTATCTTTTATATCTATAAGTTGGTTCAGATATAATAATGTCTATTTATTTATTATACTATTACTTGCTATCTATTTTTTATTTTTAACATGTTCTTATCTGTTTATCATGTTCATAAATTTTTTATAAAGGTTTTTCTGCTTTGATGTTTATTCATATTTTTTTTGCTTTAGCTATTATTTAATAGACTAAGTTATTTTTTCAAAACTTCTTAACTTCTATTTTTCTTTTATTGTCTTAAATGTTCTTTATTAAGCCTACTTTCTGACATCTTTGAGCTATTTTAA